AAAAGCTATATAATTGGGGCGACTAACTGTCCTGGTTTGCAGGGGCCTGAGGTGGTTCCTGGAATGTGGGACTTTCCGTTTGAAAACGGGACAGTCTTGGGCAAGCCAGAAGAAGTTGATCACCCTGTTAATGCTAAGTGACATGCTTAATTCTCTCCCCCCCCAAAACAAACAAACAAAAAAACCCACTAAGAAGTAGGCATTATCCCCGCTTTTGGATAAGGAAACTGAGATTCAGAGGTTAAAGCAATGTCTCATGCAGCTAACTAATGGCAAAGCCTCGTGCCAAATCCAGGTCTGCCTGGCCCCGAAGCTTGTCCTCTGAACATCTCCATTGTCAGGCTTTTGCTACACAGATTTAAGAGATTGCCCCACTATACTTGAGATGCAAACCATACATATTCTGTGGCTGTTCTGGGAATGACTATTTTGTAGCCTTTGATTCTTAAACAGGCTGAAAAATTAAGAATCATCCAACTATTGAATGTTTGCTTGAATTTTTAAGCTTATGAAGGCAGACTGAAACTTAGAGCAGAGCACTTTCTGTGTAGAATCTTTAATAACTTTTTGTGAAATTTTGCCAATAACTCTAAAGAAAAGCAGTTATGCAGTTTAGAAAGTTTACATTTCCATTCTGGAAAGCTCTCTTACTGCCCACTGGTTTGAGGGGAATGCTGCCCTCAACTTGGCTCATTTCAAATAAGGCCTCTGTGTCTCTATTCCATGTCCCAGTCCTCGAAGCTTTTAGGCAATAACACCCGAAATGGAAATCAGGTGGAATTAGCCTCATAATTGCCACCGTTTTCTTTTGGAAACAAAATTGGTTGTGGGACTTTGTGAGTTCTCTGCTTTTAGGAGGAAATAAACCCATAAAAGTCACTGCTAGGCCCGAGTGCCGGTTCAGGCCTGGAGGAGCTGAGCGTTAAGACTAAGTCCTTAGACAGCATTGACTTCTGATTTTTTTTTTTTTTTTTTTTCAGTACGCGGGCCTCTCACTGTTGTGGCCTCTCCCGTTGCGGAGCACAGACTCTGGACGCGCAGGCTCAGCGGCCATGGCTCACAGGCCCAGCCGCTCCGCGGCATGTGGGATCTTCCCAGACCAGGGCACGAACCCGTGTCCCCTGCATCGGCAGGCGGACTCTCAACCACTGCGCCATCAGGGAAGCCCTGGTTTTGTTTTTAGTGGCTTCACTACCTTCCATCTGGTCATCTTTAATATTTAATATTTTGTCCCTTTTTCTAGCCAATCAGCTATATTAAGTCAAATACTAGAAATTGTATTTCCCTAAATCTTTTTGCACCTAGAAAAGGGCTTCTGCCTCAAATGTAATGATAAAGATAATAACTAATGTCCTTTGATATGCAAAGCCAACTTTATACCTAATTGTGCATCATGGGCTGCTCATGACTATATGTCATTTTCTAAAATGGACTTAAAACAAATGGGATAAGTATGTGTTGTAGGGTGATAAGTGGAGGAAAATATGGAATTAAATTTTAGAGAAACTGGAATTAAAGAAATATCACTGTTTCTGCTGTTCAGTAGAAAAGATTTTATAGAAGAGGTGGGCTTTCGGAAGCAATAGAATGTAAAATTTTTGAGAGCTTTGGTGTTCCAGACATGGTATGTGGATTGGGAAACAGGATAGTTTAAAACAATAGGCCTTGTGTGTTTTCACTGGAAGGCAGAGGCAGATTTACCATGAAGCTAAT